TGTGTGTGTGTGTATATATATTTGCCATTTCCCCAAATTCAATATACATACATTGTTTATAAAAGATATTAAAAGAAAAAAAGTATTATTTTATAACAATTAAAAATTCTAAAATATTTAATTAGGAAAAAATACCCTAAATTTCAAAATACTTAAAACAGTAATAACAAAGAACAATATAATGTTATGAAATTTATGTAAATAAAACACTATGATTATGTTGTAATCATATTAATTGTTTTTATTTTTTTTGTATCTTTCCTCACTTTAGAAACAAAAACCAAATATAATATAATAGAGACATATAATTACAATTTGTATTATTCTTAAAAATCTAAAATAGTACTATATATATTTCTTTGTTATATATATTTTAAAGAGTCCTTATATTTTACTATCGGCCGATAATCAGGCTGGAGGCAGCCACTCCTGCAACTTTTGGAAGAACTTTCCAGCTTATTTTTCCTAATATTTTTAAATATTTCAATATTTTTTTCAACTGAAAAAAGAAATTTAATTTTGTTCATATAACAAAGAAAAAATGTATTTTGGATGTTTCTAATTAAAATTATTTTTAAAAATAAAGAAATTTGCAGAAATAAAATCCTCAAAGCCCTATCTACATAAATCGTAAACGCACAACGCAAACGCAAACACGGAAAAAAAGAAAGAAACGTCGAAAAAAAAGAAAGAGAAAAACATCCGCGTTTGCGTTTGCATTTTGCGTTTACGACTCATGCAAATGGGCCTTAACAAATGCGAGAGAAAGAGAGAGAGAGAGAAAGAGAGAGAATTCTTTACATAAAATTATAATTACCAAATCACGTGCAAGAATATTATTATATTTATTATTCAAAAAATTACTTTAGAAATTACTTACGGCAGAACCCCAACGTAGTGGATCTGCTTCACTGATTGCATCAGCTTCGGAAATGGGTTTTGCTTTCACTTCAGGTGCTCCCATGATTGTTATAACCAAGATTATGGCAAATGCCAACAATAGATATGACAATCGCATTTTTAATATTTATTAAAATTCAAGTTCTATTAACCTACACGTTTCTTGGCAGCAATGCGTAGCGCTTATATAGACTATAAGAAACGCGATCTAGACATGACATTCGTATCTATTACAAAAGTATTAACATTTTATATTGCAATAACATTTAATATATATACATAAATATTATATGCATAATCATAATGTTTTTATTTTATGCAATAATACTTTATGTAATTTAAAAGATATAAAAATGATATATAATAAAAAAAATAAAACACACACGCGCACACACACTTGTGCAAAATCCGATCGCCAATCTCCTTATAATGCACATCGGGTAATGCCGACAGTATATAAGAAAAAAATAAGGGTTACTTTAAACACTGTAACTTTATGAAAAAAGTCGTAACAACTTGCTTTTTTTTTAATTAAAGAGAAAGGTTCGAGCTTTATAATGCTACAAATGACTTCCCTGAGAAAAATTTTATCAAGTCCGTGCATTCCGTCAAACTTTGTAATTTTTCGTATGGAAAACATGCTTTCAGATTTAAGGGGGTATTACTAATCTAGAGGCCAAATTTTTATGTTATTTTTGCGAATTTTATAAAAACAAAGTATAAAGTTTTTTTAGGACGGGGTTTTTTTTCTACATATTTATACATGTATACATATTTATACATATTTGTATGTTTCAAAATATTTGTATTTAAAAATAACTGTAAATAAGCGCTGTATACAATATGTACTGAGGTCACGAAAATAAATTGTCCACGGTTCCCATAATTCTGGCTGTTCTGTTCATTTAAAACAAAAAAAATCAAAAATATTCCTAATTAGTATGAGTTTAGCTGTAGCAGGTACCAGAACGAATAAAATATTGAAAATTAAAAAAATGACATTATTTTGAAAATTAAATTTCGATTTTTGTAATTATTTTTCACCATTAAAGAGTTGTAAAAATTAAAAAAATATATATTTTGACTTTGACGTTGTAGGGGCTATAGCCACGCATATGCTGAAAATGTGTGCACTAGCTCGATTTGATTGATCAATTGGTTTTCGAGAT